GCCTCATTTTCTCGCTGCCCACTCACTGTGTGTTTATGAAACAAAGAGAAAATGAAAAGCTCCTCCAACAATGAAGCCATTAGTTTGGCCACATATCAACCCCTCTTGCCACTATTGCATCCTGGCAGAAATAGCACCACCCAAGCTATACGGGAGCTATGTGTAGCTACAGATGAAGATACTGCATTTGACCCCACAAAAGAAGAACAAGTATTTTGGCTTGGTTTTTTTCTGTAATGGTGTCATTTATCACTATGACACATATTCATTGACTTAGTCTGAATTTTTTCGGTGTCAGGTTTATACTTCTTTGCTGTTTTGAATATTGATGCAGCACTTCCCTTATGTGACTATACTGTGTCTGCCAAATGGTGTCTAGACACTAGAGCAGCTTTGACTAATCAGTGTAGTCCCCCCAGTCACTCAGCTTTGGCATTTATGTACTCTTTATGTTACTGCTGTCGAGCCATAGATAGGTACCTAAACACAAGCTGCAATGTAAAGAGAGGTGGTAGTGAGCATGTCCAGTCTTCACCCAACATCACTGAGGTGAGCGCAGAGGACAGCAGCCGTCACTCCCTGCATTCACTAACAGGGCAAGTAGTTGTAACCACTCACTTGGACATCACAGCGTACGTGTGTGCAGTCAGCGGGAGATCCGGATTCAATCTCTTTCTTGGTCTGAAGATCACCAATGCAAAGACAAGGCTAGGAGAGAAGATCTCTCTCTCTCTCTCAGCTCAGCCCCCGTGTACCAGCAATTCAAGATGCATACAGCCAGAGAGAAAAAAAGAAGAGAAATCAACACCTGCCCACCAAGCAGTAGGGGTACTTCCTGGGGAGGGCTCATGCATCTGGTTCGTAGAGCTGCTTTCCAGTAGGCTATGATTTACACCCGATCCAAACTAAAAATACAGTTTTAGAAATTTTCTGCAACTTCATCATTTATATCATGCTTTTAAATATTGCACGAGTACTGAAGCTGAGCTGATCAACTTTAAAGAGGGAGAACTGATAAATATAATTTCAGAACATCAAAGAACTTTTACAAAACCTTGAGAATAAAAAATAGTGAAAACCTAATCAATGTTGCCTACACAACAGGCTGTGCTATATAAAATTAAATTGCCTCAAAAATTATATGCAGATTAAACACAATACTGCTATAAACAAAGCTTATTTGTAAGCACAATTTGAAAGTTTTGATTTATCCTGCTGAGTATTTGAAAAGCCACTATCATAAGGAAAACAAATTAACTTTGTTTTCTCTGTATTTTTAACTGTTACAAATGATTTTACTGGTGCTAATACAAAGCATTAGAGAATAGCAGGTTTGGGATTTTTTTCTCTTCTTCTCAGAAAGACTGTTTGTTGTTTGAGCAGATCTTCTTTGAATTTGCCAATAGGATTATTCTTATTTTTTCAGTGAGGGGTATACAAAATATTTAACGTACGCTTTCCAGAAGATCTGCAGTCTACTTTAAGGAGATTTTCCAGGGCTAAGATAGGACACATTTAATTTGTGGGGTTTTTGCTGTACAAAGAGAGGATTTTTTTTTTCTTCCAGGGAAGAAGATTTCTGTGTGGTTCTCTTCAGTTCCTTTTTGTTATGCAAGGGAAGGGAAAAAATCATTAATGCTGCTGTGCACAAAGAGGATTTGTGATTCTTCAACAGAAAAAGAAATTAGTAGTTCCTTTTAAATGTGGTCCTGCTACATGTTATGTACAACATAAAACTGCCTGCCTCTCTCCAGCCATCTAGCAAATAGATACATATATGTACATTGCACATGTAAAATCATGCACACTTTAAGGCACACATGTTGCAAGCTTGTTTGTCCTCTAGATTACCAAACTGCTCGGTCGTGGGTTAGACACTTATCCACCAGTTACTACCCACAAGTTGCTTCCTACTGAAGGAACGCTCAGTTAACACAGTATGAATATTTTTATAGGACTGCTACCATCTGATTGCTCTTTTTCAGCAATACCTAAAAGGATTGTCTCTTTTACCCAAACAGTTCTTAATATCATGTGCAATACTTAAGGATAAATGATAATATGTTTCCTAATTAGGCTAATTTGTCTCTCTCTAGATAAATAGCAGTACCACTGTTTTGGTATTGCTGATGAGCACGCTTTCATCAGTGCCACTATACTGGAAATGTTTGGGGCTAGATCTTCAGTGAGCATTAATCAGCAGATCTTCACTGAAAATGATGGAGTTACTCTATGGCAGATGGAGGTCTGTCTCTGTTTTTATTTGCTGGCCTTAACTTTATCTCCAGTGGAAATGAATCCACATGAATATCAGGTGTAGTTAACAGCTCAGGAGAGAGTGAGAACTTCGATAGCATGAAGTTTGCATGACTCACTAGGGAGGAGGTGTGTGATGATGTCCAGTAATGCTCGGACCAGAGCTATCTGAACTATATTTGGCTTATGACAACCTAAATGTGCAACATTGTCAGATCATTACCTTTTATGACCACAAAAATTCTTCAGAAATTAACATAGAAATCAAGCTGTATGCGAAAGAGATCAGCAGAGCAATTTTTAGCCTCCTTTAGGGTTTACAACAAATAAATGCTTTAAGCAGACTGGGTAGTAAATGACTGGTATTATTCCATAGTTATCAGTCCTTAAAAACATTTAGAGAAGAGGAATGTATTAAATGATCTCTGGACCAATGCACCTAATAATCTAAGGGAGAACTGGACATTTAAGAATGATGAAATGATTGCAAGAAATGTTTTCAGGATTTTCAAGGTGCTGATCGTATAATTGCAGCTCCAGAAAGATTTATTTATGGTCACATAAATAATGAAATTTAAATCTGAGGAGCTACTTTGTTTTAGAAACACAAAAATACTGCACATAGAGCAGGCTTGCTCCTTCTACCACGGCAAAGGTTTTTCATACTAGCTAGATGTAATAGGCTCTCTTCTGTCCTAAAACAGACTTCATCCAGGTATTAGTAGAATTTGTAAAAACCTTAGAAACTGTCAACTGCCTTTGTTCCCAGTTGCTCAGGCGGCTGGATCCAAGCCACTATCTTAATTATCAGCTGAGAGAGGAATCACTGCAGTGACATAGGGTTTCCTTGCCCAGATTTTCTTCATGGTGCTGCTATTTATCCCTTCCCATACCTTGGAATCCATTTCTTCTCAGCCTGTCCCCTGGTAGGTACAGCATATATTCACCAGCAAAGCAGAGATTTTATAGAAATTTAGAAATTTATGTATACATATAGGGTATCTTGAAGGGTCGGTAGAGAGCTTGACTTTTTAAAACTATTAAGGCAACTGGGTACAGATGTCCATCTCAAGGTCAAATGGTTAAATAAGGGAAGGGAGGGAGTGAAAAGCTTACAGTTGACTGTGGTTTAAAGAAAACCATGGATTTGCTGGTGTCAGTACAGTTAGCGAGGGATGGAACTAAGAAGAGGTCATGAGAATAGCTCAGATAAATTCAGGTACAGTTTGCATACAGTCTATTTATAGGATGCTTTCTCAAACTAAGCCTGTGAACCTTTTGAAGTTTGCCCATCACTGCCGTCAGACCAATTAATGATGTACATCCAATCCCATTCTGAGATAGGTAAAACAATAAAGAAAACAAAGATAATTAGTCTCTGGAGTATGTAAACAAATAAAGTAAATCACTTGCAAATCACTTGTTTCTGCTAACGTCTGTGTTTTTATTGCAAAACTAAAAAAGAGCATTTGTATTGCAAATCTACATAACGTTAGAGCAGCGCTGAAAATGCATAGATTATACTATTCTGATTTTGAGAGGGCTTTGCAAAGATTACGCACCTGATCCTGAAACATCACTGTGAGTTGTTACATGCAAAAGAACATTTTCATCCCTTTTTCACAGAAGATCGAAGTAGGGAGGTTAAATAATTCTTTTCATGAAGATAAAGGTCTAAATGACACTTTATAGATAAACAAAAGTCGCTGCTCCAAGTTTGCAAGTCTAAGTGAAAGCACTAGTGGAGCTGAAGAGAGCAGGCCAAGATGGGCAGGAGAGCGGCTGTAGGGTGTGGGACCTTGACGCACCTCGGTGATGCCTCTTAAATTTTACAGACCTGAATGGGAGCATTATGTGGCCTTTAAAGCGCAAATAACAGAAGAGTTCCTGGCTGCTAGTCCTTTTTTTTTGTTTTCCAACATAGTCGTAATCTGCTAATTGCAATACAGCTTCGGTCCTAGTCTTAAAGCACTTTCTATAAGTAAGTAGTGCTCTCCAGCTCTTGGACATGGGGTAACTGAGGTAAGTGAAGATAATACGGCCATTCAGCAGCAGAATTCGATGCAGAGCACACATTCCCTTCTTCTCAGCCTTGGGTTCAATACTGTAGCCTTCAAATAAATGCACATTTTACAAGAACAAATAGATTCTCAGTACCATGGCTCCGGGGGGCTGTGGAGACCATGCCATCTGGATTTGCCTGCTACCCCAGTTCAGCCAGCTGATTCTGCAGGCCAGTCCAGAGCCAGGGGTAAGCCCATCCCCTGGAAACTCAGGGCAGTACCAAAGCAGGTCCTGCCTCAAGTCATGTAGTAAGAGGACTCTGTGAGCACAAACATACAGTTTTGTGTAATCAGTAAAACAGCAGAAACTGTGTTCTGAATCTGTAGAATAACAGATTCCAGTTAGAGTTCAGATCCAGACAAAATGACTGCTCGTATGATAAAATTGGTCTTTGTCTTTTTTTTGGCATGGAAATGCAGAGCATTTCTTTTAGTAAAGGGCAGGCATTTCCCTGTTGTTCTGTCCCTTTTTACTGTTTTCTTACACTTTTTTGTTCTGACTTCAAAAATGGATTCTGGAAAGAGATGCCTCTTAGAAAGAGACTTTCATCAGCTGAAATGCGTCCAGTATATATTTAAGTTAAAGAATATTAAGCCTTGTCCAAAAATAAAAAGAGTGTAAAAGGTAAGAATGCCTTCAGGCTTGATTTTTAAAGATATGCATTTTTCTTCATGTTGCAGATCTCGCCTTGCAGATTTCTTCACAAACTGCCAGCCTGAGTCACGGTCTGTTAGTAGCTGTCTGAAGGAGAACTATGCTGACTGCCTCCTTGCTTACTCGGGGCTTATTGGTAAGAAGGCAGGGAAGGGTGGGGGCTTGCTCGGTCTAAGAAAGACACCCAAACTATATTTTGAAGGCCCACGTGAAATAAAAACTGTGGAATATAATACTGTATAATATGATACCAGGCAAAATTCTCCACCTAAGTGTATTGGCCCTGTTTTACCTTACAGAGATTCCTGGGGTAAGTTTGTACATTGCAAGGAAATTAAGGATAGACAATAAGGAGAGAAAGGTGCTTGAATCTGAAATAAATTCAAGCTTACAAAGTAAAGCTTATTAAGGTGGTTGAATTTGGACAGGACCGTGAAGTCGGAGGTTAAAAAGAACAAGTGAAACTGCAGGTTGGTTGATTTTGCAGCTGTCATCACAAGGTTGGGTAAATACCTCTTGGTCTTCAGGGAAAGTTTGCAGGACATTTGAGGAATGAGACAATAGACCAACACAGCCTTGTTTCACTTCCAGCTGCTATTCTTTCCATGATGTCCTTCTGTCCACTCTAAATGTTTTCTGAGATGCCTGTCAATGGAGGTGATTTATCTTCTGAAATCTTCTTCCCTCCCCAACATAATTCATTTTGTTTGCTGTCACCTTCCTGACTGTCAACAGGCACAAGGATGCCTTTATGCAAGCCAGATACCATATACCGCATGCAGTATTTGATTCCTGAAAGAGAGGGATCATCGCAGGAAGGTGAACTTGTTGTAGAAATACCATGGTTCAGCAATAAAGAATAAGTGAATGTCAAAACTCTGAAACAAACAAATTCTAAAGGCCACCAGATAAGATGTTTTTAAGCTTACAGCCTGCACCTGCTGCGATGCAGTTAATATCCCCTTCTGTTGGGCATGAAGGTCCCAGCTGAGGCCCTGAAGCAGATCCTGCTGTTAAATAAATGTCTCTGGAGATAATATCCAAAATAAAATATTTCTGAAATAGGTTGGTTTTGCTGAAAAATGACTGAAAGCTATATTAACTGTCTTATTGTTATCATTCTTACTACTCTAGCAGCTAATAAGTGAGGTAAGTCCATGTGGCAACTGGTAAAATAAGATGTGATGGTTTCAAAGGATATGCTTCTACGACTTAAGAGATGAAGACAGTATGCAAAGGGTATAATGTATGAACAGTTATGACAGAATGTCATTTGACTCTAAAACAACGAATTGAATAGCCTTGAAATCTGACCTAGTCAATGAGATTAAGAAGTCTAGCTGCTGGCAAAGAGTAACTGTTACTAATAGATACTTCTGGGTAAGAGCTGCCAAGAAGTTCCTGCTGAACCTAGTGAATTTTGCTGGCGGGTTTGCTGGCGGTTTTGTTGGATCCATTTTTCAATTTAACCCCAAGGATGACCCAGTTCCTATAGTCATGTGTTTTTGTGTTACTGTGGATGACCATGCTGCAAAACACTGTCACTCATCAGAAATGTGGAATGGATCCCTAAGGAGTTGAAATCAAAAGAAGATCTAATTTTCAAAGGGAAAAATAAAACATTTTTCTTCCTTCCTGCTAGTCCCTAGACACACGCAAAAAGATGGCTACTGACTAGTGTTACAAGAGGTTTTACTTCTTGGTAGTAATTCTGATAAACCAAGAAAATTGCCAAAACAAAACTTTTATGTGCTGAAGCAGTAAATTCCTGCTTCTGATATCAAGCTGATATAAAAGTGGAGTAAATTATGTGAAGATCGTCAAATTTGTAAGATGCTAAGGTAGAAATCAGAGGTACAGTCTTTCAAATGTCTGCTTAAGATATATAAAACACAGGAAGAAGACATAGAGACTGTGGGTAAGAAGCTGTTACAGATCCATTCATTCATCAGAGCTTCAGAATCTCCAGGTGTTTTAATTAAGATAAAATATTGTTCGCTAAGATAAAACATTATTTCATTTAGCCGTTTCATTAAATGTAGCAAAAATTGTGCCTCAATAGAGTTTGTTCAGGAAATGGAGGATTCTCTATGGAAGGTACAGTGGATGTGATTCTGCTCTCACACACAGTGATGTAAATCAGAGTTAACATCGCTGAAATTAGTGGAATCCCACCTGAAATAAATGACCTAAGTGGGAATAGAGTCAGGCAGTTTTCGTATCAGGTGCTTTACCAGTTAAGTGGAGAACAGTCTAGATAGGATTTTTTAAGGTTTGCATCAGGGTATTATATATGTAATTTTAAAGTTATGTATATTTTACAGGAATTTTGAAAATCCTAATTCATTGCTTTAGGCTCCTTGTTATAGTAATAGGGATAAATTACTATTTTTTAAAAAATTAAAGGAAAAATATAAAAATTATTAAGTGCAGAATAAGATTGGAGATAGCCATGTTTGAGATTCAGTGCTTTGTTTACAGCCTAGTTAAGCCATCTGGACCAGTCTGCACTCCCACATCAGTTAGGTATTGCTCTAACTGCTGACTTCAAGATCTGCTTTAGCATTCAGTTTCTGACACATTTTCACTTGTTTTCCGTAAAATCCATCTAATTTCCCTGGGATTCCCAGGAATTCCCTGAGAGTTTATGTGAATACACTAGAGTTGCCTTGGGCCAAAGGAACTTCAGTCACATGCCCGTCCTCCTGGACTCACCGTCCATCTCCTCATTCTTAATTGACCCTAATTTCAGCAACCTCTTGGCTGTGTTCAGGTCAACTCTGCTTTTGTCTAAAATATGGAGAACTGACTGCCTACTACTGAGACCATCTCAGAACTATTTGATAGAGACAACACAGAAAAACAAGCATGTCCTATTTTACTGCCAACCACCATGGTTTCTCTGATCCGTTAGTGTCCTTCAGCAGCACACACATTGCAGGGAAAAAGGAAAATCCACCCCAGGAAACCAAGCATATAATCCGCTTGGGTTCACATCTGCCCCCAGGTTTAAATGACGGGCTGATTTTCTACTAGCTGCTCTCCCAGCCACTCTGTTTTTGCTGGATGTACAGTTTGTGTGCTGTGTACACACATTCCTTGTCCTGTCTTTCCTGTATTCATCAACCCTAATCGTAGCTTGGTATCTGTTACACTTTTAGCCCCTATCTTGACCCATTTTAATTACCTTATTTAATTACCTCTTCGTGATAAGAAAGTCTTGCCTCAGTGACCTTTTTAATTTCCTCAATACCTTTCTGTTTTTTTAACCCTTCCCTAAGTGTTTGCTACTTAGCCCTTTTTTTTTTTTTTAAGCCTACTATTTTCTTTCCATTTGCAAAATCCTCTTGATTTTCCTTTTCTCTCACTTCTTTTCAGATCATGTCACATGGTTGAAATAGTGTACTGAACCATCAAATGGATAATGGACAGATATTTTAATTTGGTTTATTTTAATTTAACATCATTCCTCTTCTTATTTATCTACTGTCAAGTTTTCATTAATGGTGCAAATAATGTTTGCCTATTTTACTAAATTCTCTACCTCCATTTAATAAATTTTGAACTGTGCTATTTACTCATGTGCTAATCTCACGTAGAATCTGAGCAATTATTACTGCAACTATCTGTTAAGAGTTGGAAGTAGATAAAGGTATGGGATTGCATTCTAATTTAAGAACATCCCAAAACAAGACAAAAGATGCTTTTTGTGAGTTTGGCAGTGGGACTGCATTCATTTTCACATACATTACTGCCTTTCTCAGGCCAGCCCTTAATGCCTCTTCTCCTTTGTCTCCCACCTCATGTATGAAGCAGTTTGCATGTTGATTCATTCAGTTCCCAGCGCTGCCTGGTGACTGAAAGGCTATTTGACGTCATTCTGTGATTTGTGTTATTTCTAATGTTCCTTTTTTTAGCTTGGTGTTTAGCCCTTTCCTGTGTGGTATTGCAGACTCTGCGACCCTGGACCTATGGACCAAATTTTCTCTGCTAGTGTACACTTTGGGTCTCTAATATTTATCCTTCATCTATTCCATCTTCTTAATGACTACTTTGTTGTCAGTTTTGAGGAGATGTGATCACATTTCCTCATGATATATAGCCTGTCCTAGAACTGTAGATTACCAAGTGAGGAGCGTGTTTCCTGAAACAGCTGTCATCAGTACAAGTCTGGAATACCTGCCTTTTTTATTTAATTTTTCCTGTTTGGTCAGACAAATAAAATGAAGGTTCAAACTTCTCAATCCTTAGGGAAGTTTGAAATCTCGGAGCTGCTGGGACAATGCCTTCAGTGAGACTACTGGTTTGGAGAAGTGCTGATCATGTAACGATTGCCTGATCCAGATGAGTGATGAACAGTTGCTGTATATCTTTTAGGACACAAAATGCATTCTTTGGTTTCATTTCATTCTTGGTAGCCTTGAGTTGACATATAAATGTGAGAATATTTACCCAAGAATTTGTAATAGAGTTAGAATGAACCTGTGGTTGCAAGTTGCTGACAATGTTTAGGAAACAATCACTGTACTGAAAATGTAGTGACACAGCAAGATTAATAGTAATTTATTACCTGCAAAGAATCTACTGTACTGTTTTATGCATGCTGGTTATGTTTTTGCTTTGTTCATCGCCATAACCCACTCTGTTGGCAGGTCCCTAATGAGCACCCTGGGGTCAACGCTCCTCCAGGATGTATTAAGGCTGCTTTCAGCATGACTAGCATTCTCCTTGCTCATGCGTTTCAGAACTGTTTCTCTAGGCTGGCTACAGACTCAAGGAGGAAGCTCAGGTCTGGATGTCTAGTTTCAGCCATTTATTTGCAGCTAGAATGAAAATGAGAAAAAACAGAAGTGAGGAAGAAAAATTGGATTTTTAGAGTGCAACTCTAAGGGCGCAGGTCCACATATGTTTGATTTGGCAGCAAAGCCCTTTTAAGAGGTTCCCGCCTTCTCCCAATCCATCCCTCCCCTGTGCCACGGTTTTCCACCTGTCAATTCTGCTGATGCAGCTCTCTGTGGGGATGCAATATAAACCTTCCTGGAGGAAAGGAATGGGTCTTTAATGTGTGAGTCATGTTACGATCCCTAAAGTGGTTGCATTCAAACAACCGAGGGTGTGAAGTACGGACAGGGCTGGGTGTCAAAGGTCAAAGGGAGCCAGGAACTGTTAAGTCTGGAAGTTAGAGCCCTGCCGTGGGTCTGCATTGTGAATCCATCTCCGAATACATGACTTAGCAAATGCTGTTTACTATCTTCTTAGTATGGAAAGAATATTTCAGTGTGAAGGTTACTCACAGTACTGTACTTCACTCTTTGTTAACAGGCACAGTGATGACACCAAACTACATAGACTCAAATAGTCTCAGCGTTGCCCCGTGGTGTGACTGCAGCAACAGTGGTAACGAAATAGATGAATGCCTGAAATTTCTGAATTTCTTCCAGGACAATACATGCCTTAGTGAGTACAAAATTAGATGTCTTTGAATGTGTTTTAGCATGTTTTCTGGAATTTCTTTACTGTGTAAGTATGTTATGATACATCAAGACCATCGCTTTGCACTTTGTAAGCATGGTTCTGCTGTAAGTGTAAGAATTAATTAGACAAGCAAATATGCCTGATACTATGGTTTATGGCCAAGATTGCAAACGTAAGAAGTTCTTGAAAAAAATTCAAATAACAGAGTTGTATCATATAGAAATATGTTTACATCACAGGTCATGTTCGGACCCTAACAGTCAGGCAGCATCTGTACCAAAAAATTGCAACACCTGAGGGGCTTCTGTATAATTTAAGAACTTCATATAAAAAAAGACATGTAGTTTATGATATGAAGGATTTGCTGTAGGTAAGTATAAATTGGACTGTGCTTGCAATTTATAGCCAAGCTTCAGGTTTTTTAGGCTACTTGGTCTCAGATGCCTGAGATCACAGGTCTGGATGGTGCCTATTTTCAAGATTTTGTTAAATTATTGACTTTTTTTTCAGTCAAACTCACTTCCAAATTAGGGACTATTATAAATTTCAGAATGGCTTAGTGGAGTCGATTTTGGCAGGTTTTCTTTTCAAATTTCCTGTCTGCCTGGAGCAGCATAATTGGATGATGTGGAGTGTGCATCAGAGTTTTAATTTCAGATAAATGAGGAGACCAAAAGAGCTTGGCTTCCCCAGCCTAGCAGAACAGAAGTTGAAAGGATACGTGATTGTCATCTGCAATTGCACTAGAGGGGCAAGCCCAGGGAGGGAAAAGGATTACTTAACCTAGAGGACAATGTTGGCACACGATCAAAAAGGGAGATATTGGCCATACATATTTAGGCTTGAAACTGGAAAATTTTTAACCATCAGACTAAAGTTAAGGAATAGGCTTCCAGCAGGAGTTTTGAGGTTAAAAAATTCTTACCGGTTTTAAGTCGTATTTCATCAGCTTACCGAAAGAAGCATACATCGTTGCTTTTTTCAAAAACAGCAAATGAACTTGATGATCCAGACTGTCCCATCCAGCCCTATATACTTGAGCTAATGCTAATGCAGGGTTCAGTCTGTATTTTAGTATAGGGTCTGAAAATCTCCATTGGTAGCTTCTCAACAGGCAGCATTGTGAAGGTATGGGGAGCTTTGCATACAAAAAGTGAGTGACTTGAGTTACTATTTGATACGCTACTTGTTAAACTTTGGAAGAATGAATCAATTACTCAAGATCATTTAACAAAAAAACACAGAAAACAATTCGGACTGCGATTGGGTAAAAATTAACAATATAGCATCAGGCCTTCTTCAAACCTAATGGGGCTGCCATTTATATATACTGTAATACATCAGATTTTATTCATTTGTGAATGTATTAAATGCTAGAATGTTACAGGGTCCTTTTAGAACATAAAAACAGAGCGATCCCTTGTCCTTTCTTTTGCTATGGGTATAAAAGCATTAATGAAGACAAATCATTAACATTAGAGGTTACTGTGAGACAAATTATAGTCATCCTAGCTGTAAGACATGTCTTCTTCATGAAGAAAGTAAAGATGTTTCTGTTTTAATACAAAGTTTTTTCTCTTACAGAGAATGGGAAAAGTTCCAATTATTTTTTTTTAATTGTTATTGTCATTAATGGGCCTTCCAATACCTGGAGAAAATGTCATGTGTTTGTTGGATGAGTTTAGAATCCCTCCCACTTTTTTTAGACGAAACAAAAATTGCTTTTCCACAATGGGATGAAACTAGGAATTTCTTGCTAGTCTGTTTTGCTAAAGTATACTTCCCCTTCAAACTGGAAAATAAACCAGCGATTTGGGGCATTTACAAAAGATGTGGAAAACCTAGCTTAAATGTTTATTCAAAAACCTATTTAGTTATTTATGCAAAGTGGAATAGCTGAGCCTGTGCCCTGAGGGCTAGGGGACTCAGAAAGCTGGAGACCTAGGTTCACATTCGTACTGTGGCTGATGTGGAGCTGGGATATGAAGCTGAGCTTACCATGTCCCACATACACGCCTGAAATCCTGGTCTTTCTTGCACCTCTGTATGCACTTGCCTAGAAATTCCACTCTAGAGTTGAAAAGCCTTTTGCAACAGATGTTAAGCTGAAACCAGAGTGGAAGTTGGATTTCAAAAGGTGGATGTGAAAATACTAGTGAAAATTCCAGTCTGTTTTAATAATTAGTCCCAATAAAGACAAACATTGCATTGTTTTCTTTTTACATATATTAGATAAAATGTTTCTTTATCTCAGCATTGTTCTGCAGAATATGGCTTTATATCAGAACTGTGAAATTGGCCCAATGTCAAGAAAGCTAAAAATCCAAATTAATAGGCCCCAAATAAAATATATTCCACCCTAAAACCTGAGGCTGTGTTTTACCTTGCTTATACTTTTATCCTCTTTATTAGAAGATGCAAGTTTATTGGTAATATTACAGTGGTCCTAATTGCTGCCTCTCCAGTTAGGGTCTGGCCAATCTTAAATTCTGGAAATCCATCTTAAGACTTCATTTTAGCTACTCTGAAAGTGAATGTACATTTGCATACTCTAGAATTCCTACTGAACTGAATGGGATTCAGTGTATCTACATATCTGTTCAAAGGATTTGTTCACACTTGCTTTATACTGCAGTAAAAAGAATTGGCAAGTGGGAGGAAAAGCATAAAGCAGTGAGTTAGTTATAAAAATTATTGAAAGGATCGTTACTAGAGCAGTCAGACACTTGAAGCACCTCCTTACAGTCATTATGTTTTTTGAAATGTATTTGAAATATGTATGAAAATTATGTATATAAAATACATATTTAAAATATAATTTATATGTTTGAAATATTACAAATAATATGAGGAGGGATGGAACACCTCTCCTTTGAGGAAAAGCTGAGAGAGTTGGAGTTGTTTAGCCTGGAGAAGAAAAGGCTCCGGGGAGACCTTATTGCAGCCTATCAGTACTTAAAGGGGGCTTATAAGAAAGCTGGGGACAAACTTTTTAGTAGGGCCTGTAGCGATAGGACAAAGGGTAATGGTTTTAAACTAAGAGAGGGTAGATTCAGGCTAGATATAAGGAAGAAATTTTTTACGCTGAGGGTGGTGAAACACTGGCACAGGTTGCCCAGAGAGGTGGTGGATGCCCCATCCCTGGAAACATTCAAGGTCAGGCTGGGCGGGGCTCTGAGCAACCTGACCTGGAGGTCCCTTCCAACCCAAACTATTCTATGATTCTATCATAGAATCATAGAATATATCAAGTTGGAAGGGACCCATTAGGATCATCGAGTATGATTCTATGAAATAATTAAAGACGACTAATTGTAAAGACCACTTTTACTTAGAAAACTGGAAGGATTGCATGTATTTCTGTGATCCTTCTTGCAATAATGGAAACAAAGAGTTACTGTTAATTTAGGAAATCATAGGAAAATATTGCTTTATATATTGCCTTATTCAAGTAAACCCAAGAAAAATACCATTCCACTCTTCCCACTTTGTCTCCATCAACCCAGCTGATTGTGGTGCCTTTTACAAATTCTTTTCTTTGCATGTTGGAGTTCTAAGAACTAGTATCAGAATAAAATACATCTTTTTCAGATGGGTATTAAATGTAAATTATTTTATAAGGCAAGGAATACCACTGAGAACAAGTATTAATAACTTCCGCATATTAGTCCCCAGTGAAATTGTTTGATTTCTTGTACAAAGAATTTAAAATAAGAAATCCCTAAATCCATGTTGAATCCCCAAAGACCTGATTAAAAACTGTTTTTCTATTTGTTTATAAAAAAACCCGACCAATTTACTCTTGCCATAAACACACTCTTTAATCCCATGAAACTATGATAAGCTTTTTAACTTCTATATTCTGAAGTTTTAGTTTAAGCATGCTTCCCTCATCTAATTATGCAGATTTTGATTGAAAACTGTAAGGAAAAGATGTCTTAGTTAAACCATTTTGTAGTTATAGGCATATTAGTTTTACTACCACAAGCTGAAGAAATAAATTAATATTTTGCCTGCTCTCTGTTTTTAGTTTGCTATGTAACATCACCTGCCTGAATTAGGACATAACATTCAAACTGTATTGTAAATCTTGAAAGTAAATTTTTGAGGCTTTTGGATGGTAACAAATATGATTACAATAGGTCCTAGAGCTTCTGTCAAGAATTACTGGGAACATTACAAAGAAGAGGCTGCACCAGATAATTATGTGACCCCAGACTCTCAGTTCATGTTTCTGATATGTTCAAAATTAAGACACGTTTTTCAGCATAAAAATTGAGTTTCTATAAATACACATTTTCAATGGAATAACAATAATAATAATGATTAAAAAGTCAGTTCTGCTTTCTACCATTTGTTTAGAAATAGAAAATTGCTTGTAATTTATTTTTACAGAAAATGCAATTCAGGCCTTCGGCAATGGTACTGACGTGAATGTGTGGCAGCCAATCTTACCAGTACAGACCACTACAGCCACAACTACAACAGCTTCCAGACTTAAAAACACAGGTTCAGAGACCACCAACAATGAGATACCCACCCACAACGATTCACCAGCATGTGCAAACCTGCAGGTAAGAGAGTCTTGTACTTGTTGCAGTGCATAAATGAAAGTTTTTCATAGATATTTATACAAAGTAGTCTCCTGCTGCATAAATAGATGCCTGCTTAAATTGGAATATCTATTTATTTCCATGTTGTAGTTACAAGCCGGATATATTGTAAAATATCAGACACTTATTTTAAACAGAAAAATGCATATTTCAAAGTAGACTTTATTGCCTCTCTGCCTCAGAAACAGGGCATAGTATTTAGTTTGTTATCACAGGTTTGGATATGAATGTCGCACTCTCCAAACCCTGCCAGGATATGTCAGATTAAATTAATCCCCTGAGTAATCCAAATTCAGAGGGAACTCTTAACGTCAGCTAGCATGTCCTGCTGCCTTCTTTCTTATGTTATTAGCAGTAAACTTAAGAGGTTTTTTGGCTGAGTAGGTCTGGATATTAGAGAATATGTGGTGCTACAAACTTCATGGTGAAGAAGCTGGACAAAGAAGCTATTTTGAATCAGGTGCTTTCCTGAACTGGTGTCAAGGTCGTGATGTGATTTTGGCCAATGGCTGTAGCGATTTTCTTTGACACTTCAATTAGGCTATTCATGGTGTGTCATTGATTCCGGATTTAAAGAGGCTCATCACTTGCTGAAGGCAGTATATGCAGCTCTTGCAAAGTTTGAAGAACTTCGGCAGGAGACAACTGCAAAATCAAGGCAGGAAAGAGGCAACAGGAAATGTAAGCTGAAAACATCCTTCGGCCAGATTAGAATCTTGGGTTATGAAAATTTCTGGTGGTTTAAATGCAAAGTTAGTTCAGGGATAGGTCAGCTTGGCCTGTTTATTTGTGTCTTTACAGGAGGAAAATTGCTATGTGACGCAAATGAAAATGTCCAAGTTTTAAGGTCTCATCTGGTATTAAGACACTTTTTTTCTGGATTCCCAAACTCTTCCACACTTGTAGCATTCACGTTTCACTTACTTATGAAAAATTGATTTTGTATTCTTCGTATTAAACTGTATCAGAGTTTCCACGTTCACTAAAACGGACAGTTCTTGTCCCTTGGAAATGTATTTTGCTTCTTAATTTTTCCTGCGCCACTCTCTCATCTTCATCCTTTTCTAGTTTCTCCATTTATTTTGCATTGGCAAATTGCATATGAATTAACATTTTTCAGAGGCATTACGGAGTCACAAAGTATATGGGGTTAATGGTAGATGGTGGTGACGTTAGGTCCTTCTGTCTTAATTCTTTTTTCCGTATCTGTCCATTCATTATTAGTTAAGCTTTGTAAGTTATTGATGAGAGGGAGATAGTTGTAGGCATGTATTTCTATATGCACTAGTCATACGAAATAGAATATGCTAAAAAGAAATGTAACCTTTTAAACCTGGAACTTGGAATATCTTGCATTTAAAGCGAGACCTCGATGGGATATTATTCACCTCATGTTATATTAAAAAGTTGTTTTATGGGAGAGATCATGTTTTCCTTCAGTGTTTGCACAGTCCCCTATAGACTAAGGCCTCCAGATGCTACCAAAGTACACATGATAAATAATGAACTGAAGAAATGGCAAGTGATCACAAATCCCATTGGATTCAGTTTGATTTGCAAATGTTCCTCAAGCCTGAATAGCTGTTCCAGTGTTTTGAAAATAAATGAAATTCTTCCCTGTCCTTACTCCTGTTATTCTGGCATTTTGAAGTCACATCCCACATGAGTTTATCAGCACTGGTTTAAAGCTATATTACAACTTCAAGTGCACCCCTGATATACTTAACACAAGAAGTAAAGGTCTTTAGGGAAAACAGCTTCCTTTAAATAAATTATCTCTGCTGTTTTGTAGAAACTATAGGTAAGTCTGCACTACTAAAAGATCACTGATGTTTTTTGAATCAAGCAGTTTTATTCTTGTGAAATACAACATTCTGGTGCTCGCTACTTCCTTGTGTCAGAACTGAAACGTGAAGAACAAAGCTCTCATATTTTAACGCATTTTTCAAAAAATAACTTACGAATAGAGCCAAAACAAGCCCACACTTTTTTAAAAAGAAACCTGTGCTTGTTGGACAGTATGGTGCCACTTTGCATGTGAGACTTAAACCTCAATGGAAATTTTACAAAAGAACTGGAGGCGTTCATATCGCACTTGGAGAAGGGTATTCATTCCAAGGCTCTCCTCCCATGAAAAATATGCCTTTGTAGTATTTTCAAAACATGAACTAGTGCGACCAAAAGCAATCTGAAGGGCTTTGTTATATGCTTAGCGGTTGAGCTGAAATGTTTCAAAACGGCAATATAGCCTAAACACTGTGAGAAGTAGAATTAAAAGCATTAGTCTCAGCACAAAGAGACAATGGCAGAGAGGGGATAAGGAAATGATCACTGAGATGCTACAAGGCTGCGCATCCTAGTTAGTGGGTTTAAAAATACAGTGAAGGAAGAAAGAGCAAGAAGTGATTGATTAGTATAAATTGCCATAGAAAATAACAAATACTGACCTCCTGGGGTTGTAAAATACAGGGCACTAACCCAATCTGCCAAAAGGGTCGCCGGCTGAGCAGTTTTTGATACATTTTTTTCTGACTTGTTCAGAATGGTTGTATGAAAAGCAAGACTACACTAATGGTTTTGTCACTGTGCCATGTTCTCCTGCACACATGCAAACCTGGGAATCGGAAGGGTTGTGACTGCTTAAAGAAAATATGAGATACTCTTTTTTTACCCGTACTCAATATCTCTTTTGAATAGCTGTTGAAGGTTTGGACTTCTAAATAATTTTTGTTTCAGTGATGCTGTTTAGAAATTGTTCTTAATTTCAGCTTACCATTGCTACAAGAATTTACAGTTCTCCCATTATGGTGGTGTTCTCTTATTTCAAATTGATACAGAGAAATCTTGGTTTCTGACGTATGCTTACTTTATGTTTACTTTTTATTTATTTATTTTTTTATTTAATGTTGATGCTTATTTTATGTTTACATATGCATGGATTTCTGTAATATACTCTTTTTTTTATCCCTAAATTAAATCAGCACTCCATCTTTGCTAGAAAGATGCTTAACTTTGTCAAGTATCCTATAAACTCTTTTATAAACCTGGCTTCTAACGAAGTTTGCTAAACACAGAGAGTAAATAGTGGTTAGTTTTACATAAAATGCTGAATTCAAGTATTTTTTGAGGTGCTTGACATCTTGCAAAGGATCCTCAGCACCACATAAAAATAATTTATAAAATATTGTGAACAAAAAGGAAGATGACTGCCAACAGCATGCTCCTTATACAGGCATATTTTATTAAGTAATTGCCATCCCTATATTTTTTCCTTATAGCTTCACTCTAATGTTTTATCTTTAATTGACATATTTGTTTATCCTTCATTCTCAGTTGTAACTCGTATTCAGTATGCCAGTCAAAAAATGGTTATGGTCTTTCAGTCTCACGTTCTACCACCACTGCTTGAACCGTCATGTTGAATTATTTGAAAAGGACAAAAGAATGAGTTTGGATGTGTACTCACACCATGCATTCTTCAAGAAAAATGCTGCTTCTGCATTTAGGAGAGATGCATGGAACTGAAAGTTGATAATGAAATAAACTTCAAGTGATAGATTAGACTAGATTAGACCAATTGTTACTACTTCATCAGCAGAGATAAATAAAAAACTAAGACTTTCATACTGGGTTTGCTATAATATTTTAGAGGACATTTTGCGCAAGACAAAAATGATAAAAGTCAAGATGGTTAAAGACATTTAAGTCTAAATTTATGCATCGAAATCTATCAACTCCCTAGCTAGTTCTATACTTTGTTTTCCCACGTTTGTTATAAATGTCTTGCTCTAGGTAACCTTAGTTCAGCAATCAGAGGGAATTTAAGGTTTTTGTGCTTTTGAAGAAGTGCGGGTAGTGAACGTGTGTGGTGGAGATACATGGCCCTTCAGACTGAAGGCAAGTACTTTTCAGTTGAGTCCAGTATGTGAATGTCTTTGTACTCTCAGCAGCAAAATTAAAAAACTATGAGATAGGAATTAAAAAGCTCAAACATTTTGTGGGGAACAGGGAGGAAAAGAGAAATCTAGATACTTAAATATGTCGATTCTTTCTATTTGCATGTAAGATTAGTGAGTGTTTAGAACAGACGTGGGTCATATTGCAAGCTGTTCTTCCACAAATTCACATAATTCCACGTAAACTCGGGGCTTTAAAAAATACCTATTATGGTGAGTCTTAGGACAAGAACAGGAGACAGGGCTCACAGTTCTCTGAGGAGACTAGGACTTGAACATGACTCACAGACTGAAAATGACTGTGCTTTTCCCTTGTAGGTCTACCTGTTGCTGATCTTCAGCACTGTGTAAGGATCTGCTAATCTGGTGTTTGAAGTACTGTCTATAATCATTTAATGTAGCTTCCCGTGTGCTAAATACTATTATTATAAAGCATTGTGTAGGTGTTTGGAGAGGGTTAAAAGCTTCAGCATAGTGTTCTGAGGATCAAGACACAGCGGGTGTGGAGCTTCATGGACTGGTAATTGGGTGGTGGGTGAGCATAAGCAGGAAACACGGGCAGCGTGTAGGTGTGTTATTGATGAGGGGGTAGTACAACTGCTGAGATGGTACGCTGCAATAGAGACAAAGGGAACTTGATTTATCCCCTGTGCACCAGTATTAGCTTGCCCATATGCCTGGCACCCTCTTTTCCCCATCCCTTCACACAGCTTGTGATCTTTCTGTTTCTTTCTCATTTTGTGAAAAACAAGCACTGTCCTTTCAAATGCCCTGCCTGCTCTGTCCCTTGGGAGAAGTTGTACTTGGACCTCTTCCTCCAGGCATTGCAATTACGCAGAAAGTTAAAGTCTGGGGCAAAAGATAGACAGGAATATAAAACTCCCAATGCTGTACCAGAACAAAATAAAAAAAATAGAAAAAACAATATTGACTAAATGTTTCGAATGAAGAGATTTAAATTTACCTCCTGTATTTCCAGGATTAGCTGACATAATTGGGTCAGCT